CTCCTCAACTAAAATAATATCGGATCCGGTGGATATTCTCAAGAAGTGTTTAAGATAATTCGTATTAAGACCTTTGATCCAACGCTTTAAATGATTTAATGATTCATTCTCAGCAGGGGATTTTGGTTCAGCTTTAATGAGCTTACATACTCTGCTCGCAGTAGGAAAAAAAGAGGTGTATATCTGAAACAAGGCGTCGTTAGAAGTGATAAAAGATTTCAAAGGTACTAAGATTTCTGACCAACAGTCACATGCATATCTTGGTTTCTGCACCAATTCTTTATGTGCTATTTCAATAATCAGATCCTTAAAGTTTTCAGGCGTAGCAATCTTCTTGCACTTAAAAGCTGTTAAAAGATCTGAAACCTCTTCAGTATCAACACTTACAGAGGAAGAAAGAACTTTTTCTACTAAGATGGCTTTGGTTCTAGAGATATACTTCATAAAAGAGTTAAAGTACATCTCAGAAGTGACAGATTCCTCCCCGAAAAGACAGCAGCTTAAAAAGACTGGGGATATTTGAATAGGCAAATAGTGTTCTTGCACATAACCTTTAAGTAGGACTCTGGCGAGAGCCTGCCACATGCACTTAGACACATCATGACGAATTATTGGTACCCTTTCAGCTTCACCGAGCATATAGCTATTGCAGATATCTTTCCAAAATATGGAAATCGCATCTCGTACAGCCCCGCTACCTACACCTTTCTCTACAATACCTCTGGGATCGATTATTTGTACACTTATGAACTTGTTTAAAATGTTACTATTAGCAAAATAGTAAAGGAAATCATTCTTTACTTGAGTTCTATGGATAACCAAGACCTCATTTTCCATTTCTTCCAACGATGTCAGGGATATGACCTCATCAGTGTTCTTGACGTTTTCTGTTTCAACTAATATATCCAGAAAAATTAAAAATGACTATTCTATATGTGATATGCAATACAATACTCGATAGGAATTAGAGGGCCTTCCATGCATGATATTTCCAACCTTCAAATATATCTTCTAGAAATAAAAAATTTTCAGTGATATTTGTTTCAGTTGCCTGGTTGATAGAGGTAGTTGCTTGGTTACCAGAGGTACTTTCTTGGGCATCAGAGATACTTGCTTTGGTGGCGGAGATACTCGCTTGGGTTTCAGAGGTACTTGTTTGGTAATCATAGCAAAAAATTGCCTGCTTGTTAGGAGTTAACATAGTTTGGTTGCTATTCCAGTCCTGAGAGTTAATTGTTGGGGAGCTGTGTGGTCCTAAATATACAGGAGTAAGAAATTTGAAATGAAAATTTTTAATCAGTTGGTTCTATTTTATTGGTTGTCAGTTGATAACAGTACTGTTTTTACCACACTAAATTCATAATTACCCAGAGATTCATCTTCAGTATTCTCAATATCATTGGCAACTACAAACATATAAATATAGCATTATAGCAACATTTATGTCATTATTGTCATTAGGTGTTTCTTATAGGCCCTATAGCATTGTAGTGTGGGGCCATCCTAAGTCCTATGTCACACAACATCATGAAGTCCTGGTTTTTGGGGTACTTTTTATATCCAACAACATGGGACTGATTTTCAGGGCCAAAAATATAACTTGACCTGATTTCATCATTTCTGTATGGATTTTGTCATAAAAGATCATAATTGAGGGTGACAAGAATTAAAAGTTGAAAAAATTAAAAACTGATGTTAACATACATGATTGGAGAACTGTACTGTATATGCTTTAATTACATGCAAATCAGTTTGTTATAGGTAAATAATCCTTACTTTCAAATTAAGTCAGAGACCTTGCACAAGTACAAGTTGACTCGATTATAAGGCCTTCCAATTGCTTCCTTATATCTCTCAACTGTAAATGGCTGTGAAGTTCCTGGAATAGTGTTAACCAGACCAAAGTCTGGGTACATCAGAACACAATCAAAGTCACCAGAATCCCTCAGGTGTTTATTATGAGCCAACTGCTTGTCCATCCCTAAACTCTTCACTTTACAACTGGAATCATTTTCTTTTTTTAAAATCGAGAGGTAGAAGAGAACCTTTTTTGACTTTTAGCTGCCTTGCTACTCCACATTCTACCAACCCACTATTTATCTATATAATTACAATTTCATAATCATAGATTGCATCATGTAAACTGATATGACAACTGTATAAATGCTAAACCAAATGCTATCTACCAAAATAATATTAAGTTTACTATTACTGCTAAGTTGTACTGCCAAATTTATCAATGTCTTATAACTTTAGAAAATATATGATGATAAGGAGGAACCCGTCATGTGTCAATCTCTAGTATATGTGTGAAATGATAAACAAACCTTTACAATTTCTTCCTTCTTTTTTTTTAATGATTTCGTTCTTTCATCTGATTTTCTTTTTTTCATTTCGTTAAAGGTTTGTTGACGTTGTTCTTGGTCTTTAGTTTCTCTGCTTGATCCTCTCTTCAGAAATTCTTCAAAAGTTAAAGTTTTTAAGCCACCACTTGCATTATTTGACATTTCCTTGGGCTTTGTAAGATTTCCGTCTTTTAATGCTGAGCCACAGGAATTGCAAAAATTTTCATTGCTGTTAACACATAGGTTTCCGCACGATGGACAAAACATTATATATAATATAATATATATATATATATATATATAATATATATATATATATATATATATATATATATATATATATGCAGTTAATAAATTAAATTTTTATAACTTTATTGACGCCTCATCATATTAATACAATGTAATATTAATTAATACAGTTTTGGTCAAATCAATTGGGAAGTACACAAAGCAGATAAAAATGTTTATATTTAAAAGAGATCATTCCCAAACTAAAACAAAAAAAACTTGCTTATATGCGCAAAACCTAATTCTAGTACAGTACATGATGGGGAATGTGTACCACCTATCATCCAATGTGAATTTATTAACAACTAATATACATATACATTTGCATAAAAATGGATGTTGTGATTTGTGCCAATTCTAAGTTGTGAACACTACGGTACGCTGCGCAAAATAATTTCCAAAAAGTATAAAATGGAAGGAATGCCCATAAAAATAACTTTTAAAGGTTTTTTAAAATCAAAGCTTACCTTATTTGCAAATTTGATACAAGCCAGATTGGAAGAACCACGTGTTTGTCATGGCGCTAATGCTTGCACTCAGCGAAAATAGGCTTCCTTTTACTGACAGGGTATGTCTGTACCAGTCTGTACTTCCTTTTTCTCCGCGTTCAAGTTGTTGGTTTTGCGTTAGTGTTTTGAGTTTGCGTTCGTGTTTTGAATTTGCGTTCGTTTTTGAATTTGCGTTCGTGTTTTGAATTTGCGTTTCTGTTTTGAATTTGCGTTCGTGCTTTCATGATTTGCGTTTTTTTTTTGAATTTCGTTTGTGTTTTGAATTTGCGTTTGTGTTTTGCACCTCTGGGCCACCGTACTAATGTCTAGAAAAATGGACTAAAATTTATTCAAAGTACCAATATTTATACCTCATATAGTAGAGATAACGTTCCTAATATGTTACAAAGCACATTTAGTACTTTAATTCGGATGGCCGTCCTCTCTTCACATCTAAAAAAAATTCCCATTAGCATAAGACTGAGGCTACAAAAATACATCACGGAACTTAAACAAAAATCAAAAATACCAAAATATTACATTATTACTTTTGTCCTCAAAGAAAGTCATAAAATTGTTAGCTAGATTCTGATCAGATTGGCACACAGGATATTAAGAATCAGGGGTATGATGTAGAAACTTTCCAATGGTTTTAAATAATTGCCTTTGGTCACTCCCATTATCTCTAACAATTTCAGAATAGTAACGAGTACGACTTTCCGATAATAGCTCACTGACACGGCGACATGGCTGACTGTATTTTAGACGATCACAGGATTGTTTTGACTTACGCCATACCCGCTCGAGTTTCCTTCTGATACGTTTTTCGTTTTTAATTTGTTCAGTGTACCAAGGTGCAGCTGGACGACTAATTATCTCTCTGGTGATAAGTGGTGCATGATGATCCAGAATTCTGGACAGCTCTGAGTTGTATTAGTTGACTTTCGCACTAATATCAGCCGTGTTCCCAGTGATAATCGGAGATAGCCTAATGTCATTAAAGAATGAGTCCATATTGATTTCTTTAATTTTACGCGACTCCACGACCCTTCTCTGAAACAATGTTTTTTTAAAATTGAGTTCACATGTAACCGTGTAATGGTCAGATATAGATGGATCATGAACGTCAATAGATTGAACAATATTTCCCTCATGGCAAGACAAGATAAGGTCTAACGTGTGACCAGCAATGTGTGTTGGTTGTTGTACATGTTGTTCGAGATTAAAAGAATCAACAAGATTGAGAATTTTTGTTGTTGTTATATCCGACTTATCGTCTACATGGAGGTCAATATAATACGATTATATTTAGTATTTGAGGTAACACATTGATTTGCATACCCATCAGTTCGAAAGACTTAATGTTTGTGAACATGTTCGCCGAGTCCAGAGCTTGACTTTTGAAGTGTTATTGTATAATATACCAATGCCTCCCCATCTACCTTGTTGTCTCGAGATATGTTTAAAGAGTAGCCCTTCGGGGTGAAATTTCCAATACATATAAGATCAAATTTGTCAGGGTGAAGCCAGGTTTTTGTAATCGCAAATATATCAAATTCATTCTCAACCACATAGTCTTTGACTAAATTGGCTTTGTTTCGAATAAACCGGCAGTTGAGAAGACCAAAAGAACAAAGCTGAGTAACAGCTGTATCAGGAGTGTTGGCAATTTTGAATGTAAAGGAATATTGATGAGATTGTTTCTCTTAATTAATATCATTTCTGCCATATATGTTTACAGGCTGATGATTTGCATGATGATAGTGATTGTATAGTGTCGCGGAGGTGTTTGCCAAGTAGGTATTATAGAAAATATTCCTATAGGTCATATGGAACAACCAACCTTTCTGTAGATTCAACTGCCCAAGCATCGAACTAAGCTCCTCAGGATTTTAGCGGGTCGAAACGTGTTCATCAAACGTGACTGCTTTCGATGTTGAGACATTTTATCCGACTGATTATTATCAAAAGATTGAGGACCAGGATTAGACGAAACATCCACACACATTGATAGATCCTTCTTAAAAGGCTTCGCACATAGGACTAGACTAACAAATCAATGTTTCGTTTCTTTAGCAATCGCAAATGAGACTTTGTATTTAGATTCAAAACCAACTCGTTGTATGTTGACCCGACATCGAAAAGCAATATCTCTACAAATACTCAAGGTTATGCCATCCGCAGCCATTCCGTCCAAATCCATGAAATTAGCATTCTTAAATGCCATATTAATTGGTCGAGATGTACAAAACTCGTTAGATAAAATAAATATCTTAAAAAAATATATAGAGCTACCGACCAACCGCCATATTGTGTGAATTAAGCAGTATGGAAACACAATATTCATTTCCATACACGAAAAGGTGGTGATTCAATGATAACATCTCGTTATCAGCTTTAGATATTTTCTTTAAAAACTTGTTTAACGATTCGGATAGAAGCAAACGGGAACGAGAAGAAGAAGTTGTGAAATCATTGTAAGTGTGTTTATTTCTATTTAAACCCGACAACTTTACTTGTTCAGGGAAAGGATTGTTAGAGTTGTTTGCTAGTAAAAACTATGTACACACCTTGGTTGTGGTGGACAAAATATTGAATCATTGGTTATTTTTAGTGTAGATCACTAGCTGCCTGTGAAGGAACACACAAAATTTTATTAGAATGCTTCAAAAACAGCTGGATTGAAGGTTTTCAAACTTAAATGATCTCCCCAGTGGCAAATTCATTGTTCGAATCTTACCATAACCGTGTTTCATTATAAATTCGTGAAATAGATAAAGTAAATTAAATGAACATGGCCGTTCAGCACAATAACTTGTACTCAATTGGCGAAGACAATGGTCCCAAAATGTTAAATCGATGGTTCGAATCCTACCATAGCCGTTTTTCATTATAAATTTCGTGAAAAGAAATGCAGTAAACTAAGTATAACCACAGCCATTCCCCACAAGATCTTGTAGGCCAGTAGCTAAGACAACTGTCTCCTAAGTGGTAAATCGATGGTTCAAAACCTGCTATGCCCTTTTTCATTATGAACTTCGTGAAAAGATAAAGTAAACTAAATAACCAAGACCATCCAGCACAAGACCTGGTGCTCTAGTGGCGAAGACGATGGTCTCCCAAGTGTTAAATCGATGGTTCGAATCCTACCATAACCGTTTTTCATTATGAACTTCGTGAAAAGGATAAATAAATTAAATAACCATAACCGTTCAGCACAAGATCTTGCAGTCTAGTGGCGGGGACCCAAGTGTTAAATCGATGGTTCGAATCCTACCGTAACAGTTTTTCATTATGAACTTTGTGAAAAGGATAAATAAATTAAGATAACCATAACCGTTCAGCGCAAGATCTTGTAGTCTAATAGCTAAGACAACTGTCTCTTAAGTGGTAAATCGATGTTTCGAATCTTGCCAAAACTATTTTTATTATAAACTTCGTGAAAGGATAAAGTAAACTAAATAACCATGGTCATCCAGCACAAGACCATGTGCTCTAGTGGCGAAGACGATGGTCTCTCAAGTGTTAAAATCGATGGTTCGAATCCTACCATAACCGTTTTCATTATGAACTTCGTGAAAAGAATAAAGTAAATTAAGTAAATATAACTGTTCAGCACAAGAACTTCCAGTCTAGTGGCGAGGACGATGGTCTCCCAAGTGGTAAATTGATTGTTCGAATCCTACCATAACCGTTTTTCATAATGAACTTCGTGAAAAGGATAAAGTAAACAAAATAACCAAGACCATCCAGCACAAGACCTTGTGCTCTAATGGCGAAGACGATGGTCTCCCAAGTGTTAAATCGATGGTTCGAATCCTACCGTAACCGTTTTTCTTGATGAACTTCGTGAAAAGGATAAATAAATTAAATAACCATAACCGTTCAGCACAAGATCTTGCAGTCTAGTTGCGAAGAAAGCGATTCAAGCATTGTCAGATAAGTTTGAACACATGACTGCTGTTATATCACAAGTTCGGGATCTTATGGGTAAAAACGATGATAGCATTATACGAGAAACATCGCTTCTAGCTGCTGAATATACAAAGTTCCATGTAGAACATTCAAATGAAGTGTTTGTTGGTGATGTAAATGAAGTAGATAGCGATAGTAAGCCCACAAATAGGAAACAATTAGCGAGCACTGAGCCATCGAAATCGCTAGGAATTGTGATTACGAGCAACAATGAGAATACCAACTTGTTGAGTGAAAATCCCGCTAGTTCGAACCAAGACCAGGCCTTAAGTCCCGAAAATAACAAAGATATTGTGATTATTGACAGTCCAGTTGAGACCAATAAACAAGCTGAAAATGACAAGTTAACGTATGCTAAAGCTGCCGGATCAAAGCCGGTCTTAAATCCCACAAATGGAAATGCTCTAAGACCACAACAACATTTTACCACTAATCATAACAATAGTAGGATTAGTGCTGATGGTTTTGTAGGAGTAGAGCGTAGGCGAAACCAAACAAAGAGAATATTCCTATCTGGAATTGCAAGCAGCGTGAATGAAAAACATATCCAATCCTACCTCACGCAGCGAAATATAAATCCAACATTTATTTCGGTCTTTCCCAGTAAACGTGAGGGAACGGTATCGGCCAAGGTACACATCCCCCCGCTGATTTCCCTCTTCTACAGCAAAAAGATTTCTGGCCCAAATTTGTGAGTTGCCAATTATGGAAATCTAAAGAAGCTTTGCGAAAACCAATAAAGCAAAAGCTGTAAACCAAAAGCAAATCACCCCAAGGTGAAAACTCCTCAACTTCTGAATAATGGCTCAGATTTCAATTAGAATTTCTCCTAGCAATCGCGTAAATAAACGAAACAGACGCTGTCCTTATTCGAATCCTCAAATTTGATTCAATATAAGAGATTGCCTGAACATTCCCTTTTGGTTAATACACGAAAGCAAGAATTTGTCCCGTCATTATTGTTGTCAAACACAATGTCGCTCGCTCCTAAACTTGATGAAATTGTGGAAACCATATTGACGTTAGACATTGACATTGCTATGTTTACAGAGACATGGTTAAAGGAATCAATACCAAATGAAGCAATTAATATTCCTAATTATCAATTGTTGAGACGAGACCGAGTTCATAAATTACATGGAGGTGTCGGTCTATACGTCAAGTCATCAATATTTTGTCGACAATTATTAGATATGCAAAGCAAAAATGTGGAAGTGTTGTGGGCTCTGCTACGTCCTTCTCGCTTACCTAGAGGGTTTCATCAACTTATAGTAGGTGTAGTTTATCGCCCAGAGTTTGGAGAATCTTTTTTCACCACTAGGCTACGAGATCATGTGCTGAACGAGAATGAGTATTTAATTTGCCATATCTTTTTCACGAAGTTCATAATGAAAAACGGTTATGATAAGATTCGGACCATCGATTTACCATTTAGCAGACCACTGTCTTCACCACTAGACTACGAGATCATTTGTTTAACGCCTGCGATTATTTTATTTACTTTAACGTTTTCACGAAGGACATAATGAAAAACGGTTATGGTAAGATTCGAACTATCGATTTACCATTTGAGAGACCATTGTCGTCACCACTAGACAACGAGATCATGTGCTGAACAGCTATTTAATATTTGATTTACTTTAACCTTTTCACGAAGTTCATGATGATAAAACAGTTATGGTAAGATTCGAACCGTCGATTTACCACTTTGGAGACCATTGTCTTCACCACTTGACTATGAGATCATGTGCTGAACGGCTAAGATCATTTGATTTACTTTAACGTTTTTGACAAAGGACATAATGAAAAAGGGTTATGGTAAGATTCGAACTATCGACTTACCACTTCGAAGACCATTGCCTTCACCACTAGACTACAAGATCTTGTGCTAAAGTGCTATGATTATTTAATTTACTTTATCTTTTTCACAAAGTTCATAATGAAAAAATGGTTATGATAAGATTCGAACCATCGATTTACCACTTGGGAGACCATTATCTTCACCACTAGACTGTGAGATCATGTGCTGAGCGGCTATGAATATTTGATTTACTTTAATGTTTTTGACAAAGGTCATAATGAAAAAGGGTTATGGTAAGATTCGAACCATTGACTTACCACTTGGGAGACCATTGCCTTCACCACTAGACTACAAGTTCATGTGCTGAAGGGCTATGATTTTTTAATTTACTCTATCTTTTTGATAAAGTTCATAATGAAAAAAGGTTATGGTAAGATTCGAACCATCGATTTACCATTTGGGAGACTTCTGTCTTAACCACTAGACTACGAGATAATGTGCTGAACGGCTATGATTATTTGATTTGCTTTAACGTTTTTGACAAAGGACATAATGCAAAAGGGTTATGGTAAGATTCGAACCATCGACTTATCACTTCGGAGACCATTGCCTTCACCACTAGAGTACAAGTTCATGTGCTGAAGGGCTATGATTATTTAATAAATAAAGTTCATAATGAAAAAACGGGTATGGTAAGATTCGAACCATCGATTTACCATTTGGGAGACCATTGTCTTCACCACTAAACTACGAGAACACGTGCTGAACTGCTATAATATATTTGATTTACTTTAACCTTTTCACGAAGTTCATGATGATAAAACGGTCATGGTAAGATTCGAACTATCGATTTACCACTTGGGAGACCATTGTCTTCACCGTACTAGACTATGAGATCATGTGCTGAGCGGCTATGAATATTTGATTTAGTTTAACGCTTTTGACAAAGGACATAATGAAAAAGGGTTATGGTAAGGTTCGAACCATCGACTTACCACTTGGGAGACCATTGCCTTCACCACTAGACTACAAGATCATGTGCTGAAGGGCTATGATTATTTAATTTACTTTATCTTTTTCACAAAGTTCGTAATGAAAAAACG